GCTTCGCTTGCAACCAAAGGATCCAATATGGAATGTAGATTGACACACAGACAGGCAGACACAGAAATTTCATCTTTATTAGTATAGATTCATATGTGTTTTTAATTTTAGGCTGAAAGACAGATATAAGGTCACTGAGTTTAGACCATAATGTATCTATAATAACGGTATATTTTGTAATTGTTTGCCTTTCTGTAGATTAATCCAAGTTCAGGAACATAAGCATCACTTAAAAAGAATACACGGCTAAGAGAATATTGAAACAAAAACAGAAGTCACCGGGAACACTCAGCAGGTCAGGCAGCATCTATGGAGAGAGGAAAGTGAGTTAACGTTTCAGGTTGATGACCTTTCATCAGAAAGAGAATATTGAAATCCTTGGTGGGCAATTTATGGAAATGTTGTCCTCATTTTCCCTTCACTGAAAAAATTGTGAAATTTTTTTCAAAGAGTTTTTTTTGGTCATGGAGGAGTTTCCAAAAATGAGGACACTTAGCCTCCACAGAAAAAGAGAATCATCAATCTAACCAACATACCCCACTTGGAGTGGCTCAATTTGTGCATCAGAAGATCCTAATCGTCTTTCAGGGTAACCTATCACTGTAAATTGTAGTGTTGTGTATTTTGCAGGCAAACATGGCAGCCACTCAGCAATGTCCCACAAACAGCCATGAAGTGACCAATTTTATGTGGGGGATTGTTGACCAGGACACAGAGAGAAACTCACTTCTCTTCTCAAATAGTGCCAATCCACCTGAACAGGCAGAAGGGACTAAGTTTAATATCTCAATAGAAGGATGGCACCTCCAACAACACAGCACAGCACTGCACTGGAGCATCAGCCTACACTGCATGAATTCAAAATCTCAATGTGGGGATTAAACCCACAACCTCCTGACCCAGAAACAAGAGTGAGCCAACTGAGCCTGGCTGACACACTCACACAATGCTCTAATGGGAAATGTCCTGACCTCTCTAGGCTCTCCTCATAGCTATGTCCTTGCATCTCGGCTCTCAAAATGAATCTCCACTATGAATGTAACAAAACACAAAATATTTCTGTGCATTTGAGTTCAGCATGTGACAAGTTGTACCTTTTCTTTAATGAGGGCCCATAATGACTCTGGCCATTTCATCTCCATCCATTTCAACCATAGGATTCTCAGCTTTAATTCACTTCTTAATATCTATGGATAAGAAGGAGACATCTGTCAATCAACTGTGTTCCCTTTTTCTTCTACTGTAAGAAACCTTGGGGGGAGGGTGGATCTGATATAATATGATTTGTAACAGGATTCCTTAAATTGGTCACCTACAAAACACACAGTCACTAGCCTTTACAGAAAATCATGGTTAGCGCTTTGACACATCCTTCTGATATGAAAGGCACTAAATCAAATGCAAGGATTATTATTATTATTATTGTTACACTCTCCTGTCAATCAGAAGTATGCTATCCCAATCAGTGAAGTGAATTGTGTCAGAGCAGAGCTTCTATGGATTGCAGGGATGTACTTCTAGTTTCCTCATTGAACAATTTTATTAGAAATCGCTTCATATATGATTCCCCCTCCCTCATATATGACTTTAAGTACAATTAGCATAGAATAATCCTCACCTCCGACATAGTGCTTTTCATATCAGGATAGCACTATGCTCTTCAAGAGATTTACGGTTAAAGTATAGTGACTGTGTATTTTTGTACACAAATGTCTTTGTATAATCTGTACGCATCCAGCTTTTGTCCCCTGACCTGTTTTTTCCACCCTCAAGTCCTGATTTCTTGAGCACTCTGATGCCAATCCAGGATTAGCGATCAGTGCTTTGGGACCAAGTCCCCAATATACCTGTTCCCCCTGTGGAACAAGTCTGTGTTTTAAACCAATTCTGAGCTCCATCCCCAGTTTATTACAGAAATGAAGTGGAACTGAACTGCGGCCAGCGAGAAGCACATGTTTAAGAGAACAAAGCCGTACTGTATAGATCAGGATCCCAGGGGCAGTCATGAGCAAATAAAAAAGCTAATTTATAACAAAGATAAAGGAAATACAGTATTACAAGTTTGACTTAAGTCCAGAGATTGTGGTTAGCATCAAACATATATTTAACAATCCATTTCCTTTCCTTCTGGTAACCCACTACAATAACAGCTGAATGAGGAGGTTATTGCCGTAGATTTTGTATAAATAACAGAGCAATTAGAGGATCCTCGGGATTTCAATTAAAATGCTTTGAATAATTTCCCCATTAAGTTCACTCAAGGTTAAACTTCAGAGACCTGGACCATTCCCTCCAATGGGCTGCTGGGCTTCAGTGTGTCACACTCCTTCTGAATAGCTTAGCTCGTGCTCTCATTACTACCACATCACCTGCAAGGCGCAGGGTGACTGAATGATCTGCTTTGTCCTCACGGACCAATGATCAATCATTAACTGGGAAAAATGAGACAGTTTGCACTCAATATTGCAAGGAGCTCAGAAATCTGCTCCTGCTAAACCTCCCTCGAGAATTACAAGGCGATGTGCAGCCAGTGGCTGAATCCCATGTGTATCCCTGAGACCCAAAGCTCTCTCTGTTGTACTTGTCGGGAAACAATGAAAGTTATGGGTTTATGGTTTTTTTTAGCCAGAATAGCGCGAAAGGTTAAGAGAGATTGTGGATGAACTCACAGCCTCTGTGTTGGCCGCTGTGAATGGCTGACACAGGGCAGCAGGCTGGGCTTCTGCAGGCGATGGTGCTTCTCTGTGAAGCCAGAGCCTTCAATAAACCCGCCATCTCTCTGCAGATTCTACCATCTGATCTGAAGGCAGGAAGCGCAGAAGCTTTGCCTGTCTCAGGGTTTTGTCTGCTCAGTGTTGCTGATTGTATTAAAGAAGCTGTTTAGCCATCACAGCGTGAATTACTGCAGGCATTTGAGAGGCATTTGTATTTCCTACAAAACTCATTGCTCGACCAACTGTATGCTGGAAAAGCAAGCCACTGTTGCACCTAAATATTCAACTAATCAGAGTGAATTCATGGATGGATTACTATCTGAGACTAAAATTTGGAATATACATTTGGGGTAGTTTCCTCTACTGTATTGTCTTCCAATACCAACTCTGCTCATATAAGCATAGAAGAGGTAGAGCGCCACTGCTGTTTATTGATTGTTTGCTCAGCATGACGACAATACACGGAAACCCACCCAAACCAGATTGACAACAACTTCGGGCAGGGTAGCATCTCAGAGCACTGACAATTCCCCATATTGTACAATAGGTGGCTTACAGTAAGTAGGTGGATTCCTTGTATCTGGAATCCAATGTGCACTTTTTTCCTGGAGGGACACATCCTGCTCCCCTAATTACAGATATTAACAATGATGATTAATGGTGAGAGGCAAAGTTTGGGGACCCCAGAGTGTGCGTTGGGGTACTGCTGGTGTCAAACCAGCTAAAACCACCAAGTCCGCTCCAAGGAGACCTGCATACACCACCGCCCCCACCCCACCCAACTCCTGCACCTCAATTTAGACGTTGATCCATAACCATTTGAGTGATGGTTCCACCAATTGGACCAGCATAAACAGCAGCTGCCAACCTCTTGGCATACAAATCAAATCAACGTGGTTAACAAATCCTGGATATGTGAGTGGGTGTCCACAACCCAGACTCCAGGTAACACCTTCCAGCAGTTGCGGTCCCAAGCCTCAGGTTCCTCATCAGCTATTTGACAGCCATGTGCCTTCAGGGTGGTAGGAGGACCTTCACAGGACAACTTCTGACATTCAGCACCTTAATGTTCGTTAACGTTTGATGTGGTGATGTGAACGTTAGATTATTTGCATTTAATAATTCTTGTGTGGGGATGGCGTAGGGAGAGCCTTCATGTTGGGGATCTGCTGTCATTGTTGTCCCACAACCACCCACCGCATAGAGAAGAGGAAGTGCTGTCATACTCCTTACAGTTCCAAGTCCTTCATCTAAATTAGAATAGGATCCATAGAATGTACAGCTCAGAAACAGGACATTTGGCCCATGCAGTCTGGCTGGTGTTTACACTCCACATGGATGCTATCCTGGATCCTATCCCTAGTCCTACATCCCAGCCTTTTCTCTATATTTCTCAACGATATTCTCTCTTAACAATATGTCCAGTCTTTATTTGAATTTGCACATTGTTGCTGCTCCGACAACTGATTGTGGCAGAAAATTGCACCCTCCCATCCTGTGTGAAAAGGTTCCTCCTAATCTCAACTGAATTAACAAATATTCTCGGTGGACAATAATTCTTTTAAGAATAAATATTTTACTGAGCATTAGAGAAAAATTTCCATACATTAGTAAGGACATTTTCATGTATCCATTTATTTGTATCTACTTCACAACAAAGCAGCATTGCTGTGTTGGGACAGCATCAATGTTACGTTGTGCAATTATGAAAACTGTTGCGCTTTACAGTAATGAAAATATGTCTACCTGAAATAAACAAAAATGTTATTACTGGAACTTAAAAAAACTGAACAAATTCACAAACTTCAGTCCCATTTTACTCTCTTTTTAGTTAAATTTGATCTTAATCCAAATGGTGAATCCTACCCGCTGTACAGTAACCACTTTGGGAATAACAGGTTATTTGAGAATGGTAATAGAAGACAGCAACCTGGTTTGGTTTTAGACAACTTAATAAATCATAAGCATTAAAAGAATCATTCAAACCAGAGATCGGATTACTTTGAAATTACTTTCTCATGCTATTTCAATTTGAAACAGTGTAAAACCGATTGTTTTACAATCTGTTTTAAGGTCCATCTATGCTTGTAATATCCAATTAACTCTAATGGTCATTGTACTCATAGTTGGGGAGAAATCCACTTGGGTCTAGATTTGCTCCATTTATGTATCATTTTTGAGTGGAGGGAATTTGGCAAATTGTTAAATCCAGTCTCAACTTTGAAGCCAGTTTCTGCAATTCTTAAAAAAAAACTTGGGAGAAAACCAGCTTCAAAATTAAGGCAGCATTTAAAAAATGTTAAATTCTAGATGCTCTAAAATGCCACATAAATAGAGTGAATTTAGCTTCACATGCAGTTTCTTCCCAGGTGTTTCTTAAAGAAATTGACAACTGCATTAAGTGTTTCTTTCTAATGGTTTATATGTTGTTCTTCAATATTGACTACTTTGATATTGCTTATTTCAACCACTTTCAACATGTGTCATGAATAACTACCTAATTCAAAATAGGCAAGTAAAATTAGGAATCAAAATCAACAGAGAAACCATCAAAGAAATACAATAGGAGAGAGCAGTGAGCTGTAAAAAATCAGCCACTTGGATTTAGTTCTCCTTTCAAGAAACACAACTAATTTCTTTAACATGTGGGAGTCTGTAAACATAATGATATATCTATGCACAAAAGTACTGAATACTGCAATTATTAACAATATTGGTAAACTAAAGGATCGAAAGAAACATAATTTATATTTTTATTTTCTTTTAGGACAAAATAAACAGGTGGTATTTAGCAGTCATCTGCAGTTTTAAAATATGCTTTGTGCTGGTACACCATTTCCCAACACTCATATTTTTAAAAAAAATACCAGATCCAATTTCACTTAGAAGTTTTTTTCAAATCTCAATTTATTGAGGCTACAAGTCATTACTTGTGGACACGTAAACCTTTGCAGTCACCGAACAACAAAGAACCTGAATGACAAAGGTCCTCACGGTATTTAGATGTTTTTCAAAGAATCTGATGTTGTAGTTCAAGAGGAGGATATTTACAGATGTGCAATCCATCACAGTAACAGTGTGATTATCTGATTGCAATCTGAATCCAACCCATGAGTTGAGATCAAAGCATTTTTCAAATTTGATGCAAATTCAAAAAGGCCTCAAATTATTGTGCACTTTCACGATAGCTTATTTTGAATCCGTAATCCGGATGTGGCTATTTCACATTTATTTGAGGGACACCAGCAGTCCCTTTCAAACACTGACTGTCACAGAAAATAGTGATTAAAACATGCACTGAAAACTGTGCACCACAAAATATTTCCTCCCTGTACTTTTCTAAACACAGGATCAGATCATGATTTGGAGAGATTACCAGATTAGAAATAAATCATTACGCCTACAGCATATACACTATCCCTTTCATTGTACATCCCCTGCTTGATGATGCTTGCAATCTGCGAAAGGATTTTTTTTAGAAAAATATTTTATAACAGATGTTCAAATTAATGTGCCCATTAAGGAAGCAATGGAGGAAAGGGAAAGGAACTGAATTTATGAAGTCTACTATAATAACACTGGAGTAGAAATTCCACATAGATCAAAATTCACTCTTACTTAATTTTAAAACAGTCTTCGTGTAATTTCTTTTAAGAGCTGCAGAAAATTAGTTTCAGAGTGAAGACTGAATTCAACAATTTGCCAGATTTTTGGACATTTTGAAATGCCAAGAAAAAAGAATAAATCTAAACCCAGGTAGAATCTTTCCAAGTAAGTTACTGAGGTGAGTTTTTGTTCAAGCTAATGATAAAAATTACCTCATTCAACCTCTGAGTGGGACACTCAGCAAGATAAATTGGGACTATTGTCCAAAAAGCATCTTAAATTGAATGAAAGGTGGAAGGATTTGCTGTAAAATGAAAGATATTTTCTTAAAGAAAATAAAAATGTCTTCTTTCACTTTTAATCTATTTACGAAAGCAAGCTGTTCAACTAAACAGACTTGGCTTCAATGAAGCAACAGAAAAGACAACTATGTCAGCTGTTTAGAGGGTTTTACAATATACAAGTTGTTGGAATTCAATCAACTTGAAGCAGGGTGTTTGTTATAACAATTCTGGCAGGAGACTTTTGTCGTTTTGAAAAACTGTGCAAATGCATGTGTAATTTTTGATTTAAGTGAAACTGTGCATGTAATGAATTAGCATCTTAGTTAACATCTAATGGATTTTAAAAATATATTGATGTGAGAAGCAATAATTGCTGGGTGGATGATATATTTAGAGATTGGAAACTGGAAGTCCTCATTCACCTTTAAAAGAGCTAATGTCCCTAGTTATCCCTGTGGGAACATTACATTTTGTGTGAGAAATTGCACCTATCTCTTAGAATCTGGTTCAATCATTGAAACTGTAGCCTTAAAGAAAAGCTTATTGCTAACCTCTTTCATTCACTCCTTTCTTCATTGATTTTACTAACGTCTTTGTTGGTCTATAGGTCTGACTCTTCAGCAAAACCAGACTTTAAAATTGTTCTTTCAATAGACTGAACATGAATAGCTTGTGTGAAGAATACACAGCTGTTCTGTACTCCATTCACAGCAATGCAGACCAGCTACTCAGCAAACAAGGCTGACTGCAGGGGTTTGAAGGTCCGGCGACTGATCTTCCTCTGACCCAGCAGAAGATTAAGTTGTTTCTTTCCATTTGGTGCTTGACAAAGCATCTCATCGAGGGTCAGGGCTGTGATCTGTCCAGACTTTGTCAGCATTTCATAGACATCCTCAAATGAGTTCTGAAGCTTTGGATCATTTTCCAAGGTTTCACGTACTGCACCCAGCTTAATGGAAGACAGAATAAGAGTTACAAATCGGTGCTATGAGCCACGTTTAACAGAACGTAAATTTTAATGCACCACATATGTTAGGTGGCATCTATAATACAAGAAATGAACACTACCAAAACAACAACTTGCATTTATGTAGAGCTCTCCACAAGGGGTAGCGTCTTGGAGCGCTTGAAACAAGAGAGCAATTTAATAATGTAAGTGTTATCTTGGTATCTCTTACATTTTTGGTGTAATTGAGGATAACTTTGACACATAAGAAAAAGAATTAAGCAAATGATTTGGAGGTATTTTTATTTGTGTAACTGGAGTGGTCAGCACCTCATAGTAAGGTGTTGAAAATCACTGATTGCAACATTAATATATTCAGAGCGCAGAGCAATACTTTTAACTTTAGAGGAAGGAGTGCGGAGGGGGAAGAGGGACAGTAGTACAGAGCCACAGGAGATCATGCCACCCATTCTGCACACTGCTTGCTTGTTGATTTGCACCTACAGCTTTGGATGATACATGTAGCAAACTCCAAATACACAAAGAGTGGAGTCAGTGTTGTTAAAGTAGGTCAAATTCTTTCAAACACAGGGTTCTCTAAACACTGTACACATAAGGTACGTTTGGATAAGAGATCATCCCCACGGCAGTCAAATAAGCATTTAAAAATTCTTCGGAGAAACTTTAAAGAAAAACATGGGTAACAGTTACATTATGCTGACCCACATAGACTTATTTGGGGACATTCCTTCCAGGAAACGCATATCTGTGAACTAATCTAGTTACTCAGGCACATCATATTCATACCTACCAATTCTTGTGAAAATTCCATCTTCTTCACAAATGGAGAGACATAGCTTATAACCGCAGATTCTAACACTGAGCATAACTCCTGTTGTGCTCCTGACATCGCCAGTATGAGGATCTGAAGAAATGTAGGACAGATCCATTACACACAGCCCTCAGGATATTCAATGAGAAATACATTATTCTAACCTGACATTGATCACTGGTGCAGTATTGGGCACTTGACCTTCACACAGGAAACTAATGAGCATTCAGAGAAAAGTGACATGGTTGATTCTGGGACCAGTGGCTGGGGATTTAAGAGTGGGGGAAGAAAGTGTTATAGAGAATTGTCCTCCCAGGACATTTGGTGTAGTCCACAGTATAGTTTGCTGTGTAGTCTGTGAGAGGAGCAGGCCTGAAGGGCCAAATGGGCTTTTATTGTTCCATGTTTTCTTATCACTAATGATTTGATGGTGGTGGTGGTGGTGGTAGGAGAGTAGGACAGTTTGAACCTTTTTTTTAAAACAACAAATTATGTCGGGAGGACATCCCAAGGCCCTGGACAGTCAAGAATTTGCAACTGAGCTGGGTGTTGGGAATAGGAGGGGTGGAGGGTAACAAGGGGTGGAGGCAGGGAGGGTGGGGGTAGGAGGGTGAACAAAGGTGTGGTTGAACAAGAAGGTCTTGAGTCTTGAGGTCTTAAAACTGTAATGAGAACATTGTTTCATTCTTTTTTCACCAAGTTTGGTGCAGCACGGGTTTAGCTTCAGAGAAATGCTTCATTTACTTTGGAGCGAGCCTGCTGTTAGCACCAGTCCTGCTGCAAGAAGGAAGAAGCCAAACACTACATCCTGTTGTCCAAGCCATTTTTTTCTGACCTGAACCAATACATTCAGTATAACTAGTGCTCAGATTAATACAATTAACAGAGAAGGACTTACATGAAGGTTACAACAGATTTTGTTGTCTGCATTCAAGATGTGCGAAAAAATAGACTGTCCTTTTGTCACATCATTCTAAAAAATATTAAAGAGGGAAGAAAACGTTAGCTGCTCCAAAGCAAATCTTCATGGCAGATCTCGTATACCGCAGTCACGCTTCCAACAATAAGTGTTCAACAAAAAGTACTTAATATTATTATTATTATTATGTACTTCAGACCCTTTCAGTCATACTGAGAAGGTTTCAAAAAGCAGAATATAATTTCAAATCAAAGAAACTGCATTTCCTCATAAATCTTTCAAATTGGATTTGTAACATCCTGTGGATCAGACATTAAATCGAGATGCGGTGGCCAGTTCAGATGGATGTTAAATGCAATATTCAATAAGAGAAAGGAGTTGTTCCTAGTAGTGGCCAACAATTCTCCAGATAGAAAATGCCGTACAATTTACATTTATACAATGCTTTTCATGTGTCAAAGTGCTTTACCCAGCTGAATGGGCACCTGAGCTGGAGACAGTGGGCAAGCCGCTCCTGGTCAGAGCTTAGTGACCAAGAGCTCAAGGTAGACCCATATTCCAGTTTCTCCATTCGCCGTTTAGGTCAGATCAACCTCCTTAGATCGGTAGTGCTGTCTATATTGATCCCAACCAACAGAGGATTTGGTATTCCTGTACTCAGCTGCATCTTTCCCCCATGAATAAATCAGGGAGAGATTCAGAACAGCATCAGCTACATCGCTCCGTTCCTCAAAGGATGAGCGCAAAATGGTGCAACAGCAGACCTTTTCACTTTCCCAGTGTCCCCATTAGATTTATATTTCCTGGGAGGCAGAGCCACTGTACTGAGCACAAACCTCCCAAGAATAAATCATGGGGACGTTTGGAGAGTGAAAATGTCTACTGTTGCACCATTACTGTGTATTTCAGGCCTCACATCATGGTGTCAGTAAAATGTGCACAACCTTCATCTAAAAGAGTTGTTAAACCCTATTACTGCCATTCATCCAAAGCTTTGCACATACTCTAATTTAGGTCACAAACAGGAGTCAGAAGAAAGCAATTCTGCACTGGTCCCTCAACCTCCCACTCCCAATGTCACCGGTTAAGTGATTGCTTACTGCAAAATTTTGAAAATCAATACAGATTAACATATTGTGCAGTGGCTCTTCTCTTGCACAGTACATGCCAGGCAGTGATTGTGTCAGTGACTTTATCCTCCTGCTGTGATCAATTTGCATTTAATTGTTATGTTCTTTTCCCTATCAATATTGCTCACTGTCTGCTATCTGACCTTTGGATTGTTTCACTGGGCATGACCAGATACTCTGCACAAACTGATATGACTTCTTAGGTGTCACATTACCAAGAATAAAACTTTGACAATTATAAGCAAAGCAGGGCAAACACATTTACAAGATACTGAATTTTGAATGTACAAAAATTGCAATCCTCCAGATTAATTAATCATTCATCTCACGGATGTACGTAAGATGTTTGTTGCACTTACTAGTCACTTACTAGTCACTTGCACTTACAGCTGTCACATTTGCCTACAAAAGAAGCACTCTCTTCTCTTGAGAAAAATTATCTGTGAAACACTTCGAATCATTTTGAACATGATAAGGTGCTATAAAATGCAAATTCCTTTTTAAGTTCTTGGTTCACAATTACTCCTATGGAAGCTGGTTAAGCACTCTGCAATAAGAGAGGTTAGGCTAATCTTGTGTTCAGGATGTTCAATGGAACATGGTAAATCTGTTCAAATACTAATAGGTCCTTTGCTAAATTCCAAACAGATCTTTTTATGTCACTATCTGCTCCAGGCTCTTTATGAAAAGCTTTTTTTTTTACAAACAAATTCCTCTCTTTTCCTTAAGGTTTTTAAACTATTTTTTCTTCTTCTACTGTGGTATAAATTCACAGGCCCTTTCTGGTGTCTTTCCCAAGTGGCCACTAGTCATATGTGTCAGTCTTGGCAGTAAACATTAGTAGGTTATTTGCTCTGAGAGCTCAACATCCCAGATCAACATTGCCTTCTTCTGATGTCCCAAGTATATGCATCTCCAGTTAGTGATCAGGAGCAAGAATTCTGGATGATATTTTTCTCCTTAATCCAACTTTTACCCTGTGCCTAGTACTTTCAGGAATTAGGTAAACAGGGAGAGTGCACATTCCATTTCAACAATCTGTCTCTGGAATTATCATGTGTAGGTGGGAGGCATGGAAATCTCAGTTTGGTTTGGATACTTTTAAGTGATGGGTTTGCGCATGTGCCAGACACCCAGCTGACCCCCCCCAAAAAAAACAGTACAGTCCAGGAATTGACCCTCGAACCTTCCCCGGTCTACATACTTCAGTTACTCACTGGATAAATTTGCTGAACTATCAGAGAATCTGAAAAGTAATCTGAATCTGATTACTTCATTGTCCCCAAAAAATTTGTTTTTGTAGTGAGGGGCATCAATGTACTTTAAACATAGAAACAGAGGAAAACACATATTGAGGCTGAAAAAGCACCTCTGCATGGGAATACTGTAGCTTAAAGAACAACTGGGGATGTAAAGTGCCATTCCTGCAGAGATCCCCATGTGAAAAAGATCAGCTTTTAGGGAAGGATGTGCTCCATTGTTGTAGGTGCTGTCCTTCAGGTGAGAAATTAAACCAAGACCCGGTCTGCCTGTTCAGGTGGACATTAAAGATCCCATGCCACTAAGAGAAAAGAGTTTTTCTCTCCGGTGTCCCGGCCAATAATACCCCAAATAAAATTAGTTAGTGAATCAACATCGTCTGACAAAGGGTCATAGACCCGAAACGTTGACTCACTTTTCGTTCTCCAAAGATGCTGCCTGACCTGCTGAGTTTTCCCAGCTCTCTGTTTTTGTTTCAGATTCCAGCATCTGCAGTATTTTGTGTTTTGAAGACTATTCAACTATTCATTGAAGAAAATGGAACTACACTGTACATGCAACTCTGGATTAAAAAGTCCCATTATCCGTTTACACTTTCATTGCAACTGGACTGCGTAAAAAAAAATACCTGGTTGATTGCAAGAGCCACAGCGAAGCAGTATGCATGCCGAGGGATGAGGTTTCCTTTTTCTAACGACTCCTCAAGCAGCATGGTACAGATCTTGAACGATTCAGCAGTGTTCTGTGTGAAAACCATAATATTTTTATGAGGAAACAAATTTGGAGTCCAAAGAAAAAACAGATCTACACAGGGAGCTATGCCTCTTAGGTGGGACAGCACGACAGCGAGCAAACATACAGATGTACCAGAACTGAACGTGTTTTAATTGGAGAAAACAGGACTTGAGGCATCAAGGAGAAACTCCATGCAAGTAGGGTGTTTAACTTGGGCGCTGAATATACAACTAGAGGACTAGTCTTAAATTAACACACCTCAAATAAGCCTCAAGATGAGAAAAAAATGGGGTTTCAGTATACTTTTTTGTGTACCCGGGAGAATTTTTACACAATTTTCCTCTGGAAGATGCAGCCCTCAATAGTATACTCCTTGCTTTTTCATGTCATTAAAAGTATGAGCTCTGGTGCTGGTCCTAGACCAGACAACATGATTAAGGTGTGATTGATATCCCCAATTGCGGTTCCACGGATCCCAAGTAGATAAATTAAGTTGTGTTCAGTCAGCATCAGGAAAACATGTGGTTTGTGCAGTGTCTCAAAAGCCATCGTGAACTCTTAACTTGTACTCTCTAGAGGCCAACCTCTCAACTCCCCTTCCTCACCCCGGTTACTAGACCCACAGCACAATACACATACATACATACACACACACTGGGCGCTTTGGTTTCCTTCAAAACATTAAGTGCCACTGCAGACACCCAGGCACATAGGTGCAATGTTCTGAGATGTTGCAGGTTCCAGAGGAACCCAGAGCATCACTGAATAATCCTTCTGAAAAGTGGGTTAGAATTTGTGTCAATTGTGCTAATACACTTAATAATACTACTACTAATAATAATCCTTGCATTTTATATAACGCCTTATCGTGTCTTCGAGACGTCTCAGTGCTTCACAGAATATACTGTAAAGTGAATTGATTGTATATTTATGGGCGAAACGCTGCAGCCATTTGCACACAGCAGTGCCCCACGAACAGTCGCGCATTGAACTGACCAATTCATTATTTTTTTTTGAAGGAATTTTTTACCCCTGGAAAAGCGATCCGCCAATCGACTAACAACCTATTGACTGCTAGGTAAATAGAGGAGTATGGAGTAAGTAAACTTGCCCAACATTTCACCAGGCCGGGAATCAAACCCAGTTCTCTCGCTTGCGAGACGTGTGCTTTAACCAATGAGCCACAGGACTCCACAACATTAACAACAATGATATTTAGGCACCTTCTAACAAATCAGATTTCTACTTATAAAACACAATACATAGATTTGAACCACTGGCTAATGCATTGCCAATTAATTACTTACCAGTTTGTAGCAGATAGCAAATGCCAATGTGTAAGTGTCATTATTGAATTTTATTCCTTGATTCTTCATTTCCAATAGAACTCCCAGAGCACCTTTCCAAATCACATAAATTTAATAAAATTAGAATAAACTCATTAACGACTGCATAAGCACTTTACTTAATTATTCTGAAAATAATTGACGAGTATTTTCAAATCAATTACAGTACAATAAAATCACAGATCATGCGACACGGGTGGTCACTTGACCATCCATCCTTTCCCAGAACAAACTCCTCAAAGTAGCCATGAACTCTAATCCCAATTCCTCAAGTTTTCTTCATACCCTTTCATGGTACGCACACAATTTGTTGAAATCAATTAATTTTCATATCAAATAAGTGTTAATTTAAAACACCTTTACACTTCAATTTAAACTCTTACATTCCTGGCATTTACAGCTTGGCTCAGCTGGTAGCACTTCATCAAAATAATGTGGGTTGAAAGCCCACATCAGGTTTGAGCTCACAGTACAGACTAAGGTTACATTGCTCAAGGAGCACTGCAAGAGGTGCCATCCATCAGATGAGAAGTTAAACTGCGGTTCCATCTTCCAATCCATGTGGGAATTAAAGATCCAATGACAGTTTTCAATAAGAGAAGGCATTTTCTCTTTGCATTCTCAATATAAAAACTCAGAGGAGAAATGACATCTGAGTTTAATCAAAGACTTTTTACTTTGCATTTTGGAGCATGCAAATTTTGGCAAATTTAGCCTCAATTTAGAAGCTAGTTTTCTGTAAGTTCCTTCAAACCAACTTTAAAATTAAGCAACTGAAAAAATGTCCAAAATGTGTACATTCTAAAATAACAACAACTTGCATTTATAAAGCACCCTTCACGTGGGCTAGCGTCTCAGAACGTATAAACTACTAAGCACTTAGAATATGAAGAAAACAAAATCTAAGTCTAGACCGAGGTGGAAGTTCTCTCCCAAAGATGTTAGTATGGACATAAAATTTTCCACTGTTTATTTTTGATCAGTGCTTTTTCCTGATAGTGGTTTCTTATTTTTTTAAAAAATCTATAGTTGATTCATGCAAAAATCAACATTGTATATATACTGTGAAGTATTCATTTCACACTGGGGTCTAAACATAACTCCAACTGCAGAATGAGGTCAAAAGCATCTCTGCCGTATAAATTTTCTCCAGGGAAAGCCCTGTATGTCACGTAGAGCCACAAGAGTCCTGCTCTGATGAAATCTTGTGTCTGAGCCAAGAAGTTGTGACTGCGTATTGTACAAGTAATTCTCTGGAGAAAAGGCTCATTACACCTCTGGTGGTCACACAGTAGAGGCACCACTGGAGTGATTTTTGGATGGCAGTGTCAGCACCTATCAAAGCTCACTTACTTTCATAGCTGCCCTTCGTAAACAGCATGTCCATTGCAATGTTGAATGAGGTTGAGTCAGAGAAAAAACCCTTCAGATTCTTGGGGGCAAAAAAAAGTCCAATGAATCCATTTCCATAATACAGTAAAATACACACAAATTACAGTATATACTGTATAACCTGCATTTATCACCGCCCATTTAATTTCGGAAATTTCTGAACAAAATTAAACGGTTGTGAAAAACAAACAAAATCTTACGTTTTGAATAAGTGAATAGACAATTGCAATCCTTAGAGGTTGTATAACTGTGAACCAAGAATTTCCTAATGCCAAAGTAATAAATGCCAAAATAATCAGGTATGCAGCCTATATAAACATATATATGGATACATGTAATATGAGTCAATTCCTGTGGCAATATAATTACTTTAGAATTGAATGCTTCTAGTTTGTTCAGCATACTATTTGGATAAGAACCAGTAAAAACAAAAAACTAATAAACAATTGGTATACATTATGAAGAATAGATAATAGCTAGTAGAGTTTAAAGCAGCTATCTTGGATTTCCACTCACATACACAAATTGCTTAAGTCCACTCTCACAGTGAATGATGCTATCAGAAGTGCTCGATGAAACATATCTTGTAACTCATTATGCATCTCCTAGCATCTCTTATGGAGTACATTAGGAGACCAGCATTCAGTTTTGGTCAATGAGAAATTGCTGCAGTGGAGAGCATCAAATGCAACTCACGGACCTGCACCACTGTGTGAGAATAGTCAAGGAGAAAAAGCTTACTCTCTTTGGCAAAATGGTGGGTACCAGAAGCTAATTGTGTGTTTGAAATAATGAGCACCGACAAAGTAGAAATGAGTATATCTTGACATTAATCAGAATAATAAGACAGAAATTCTTTCTTCAATTATGGACTGAGCTGCCACTTAGTGGATAATCTCAATTGGGCAAATTTATTTTACTGGAGTTTTTGGAAGGGGGTTGGGGAGAGTTGTGACTTGGTGACACAAACTCTCTCTGCAGGTCTGGAAATTTACGTACCTTGGCAGTGTGAGTTTACAACGGGATTTTGCATTAGAAATTCACATCCACTGCTGGAGTAGTTATCAAATGGAAAACCATTCTCTAAGATGAAATCCAGATAGGACTAGGAAATCAGAGAATTGCAACTCTATGCAGTGCAATCCAATGAATGCAGAACGTTTGCCTAAAAAAGCAGTCCCCACAATTCACAATAAAATCCTGTGAAGCACTTTGAGATGTCTCAACAATGTGATGAGGCACTATATCAAATGCAAAGCTTATTTTTATTATCTTTAAGGACTGAATGGTCTCTGCTCCACACCTTCTTTTGTAGAAGAGTTTTTATCAGTGCGGTTCACCAAAGTTTGGATATTAGAAAAGGTCTTGGCAGAAATCCAATATAACTTAATGCAACCTTGGTTTGTTGGGGGTAAGAAAATATTTAATTAACATACAGCAGCATTGTGCCATGATGCCAGGCAGTGCAAGAACATATGCTAAAAAGGTCCATGATACACTGGTTATGTAATAAAAATCAAACAAAGTACACAAGGCCACTCAATTGTGACCCTTTTATGACGAACAAAATATCCGGAATCGTCAATAACCTCCATCCAAGTAAAAGCTATTGAATCAATTCTCCCAGATGTCAATGTTTTACTGCAAAGAGGCACCCAGCTTAATTGGAAATGAAACATACGGAGGATTACTCATCCACTGTTTATCCCATGCAAATCAATACAGAAAGACAAACAGAGCTTAACAAATTAATTCAAAAGTGCGAATCATTTTTGAGCCGAGCAGCTGTTCTGCTAGTTAAATACATTATGAAGCACTTTGATATCATGAGATACTTCTGGGCACGAGATTGCTCAAGATAAATTTGCTCAAATTAGTTCAAAGGCATTCAAAATTATGATCAACTGAACAAGTTTAATAAGATTAAAAGTTCCCACTTCTCTGCAGCTCTCTCCCTCCAATAAATATGAATTGCATTCAAAGCACGAATGTACTACTCTTGCAGGATTTTAGCATGAGATTTCCAATGAAGTGGGACTCATTGTGGTTACAGCAGGGAGGAGGAGGAAACAAGTTCAGCACCACGGCAAGTGGGAGATTGAAAACGCTTTGTGGGTCCTGAATGCGAAATGAAAAGGACATTGCTGAACTGTGCTGCATTCCTCTTCCTACAATACTCTTATTGTTCTCGGGCAGTGGCGCTCATAATACAGCCTGAATGCCTTTGCAGCCCACCTCCCTTTCATTTGTGGCCTTTGGCTGACCCATTGCTCTATGTATTTCTAGGAGTATTAATGCCATGGGATGTAGCCAACACTGTTCCTCACCTTCTTCTGGCCAGTGAGAGAAAACAAGGGAATGTTGTTAAGAGGCATACTTATCGTGGAAGACCAAATATGTAGAGCGAATAAAAGTGTTTTAGTAGGAACCAAAATACAGTATCTTGGAGAAGGGGAACAAGGGGACGATGGAAGAAAGGGAACACGGGTTTCTCACTCAGAGACAAAGGAAGGAAGGAAGGAAGGAAGTAAGTTGCATTTTTATGATGCCTTATCACATGGAAACAAGATAAAATGCTTCACAAGCAACTACTTTCAAGCAATGCAACCGTTTAGTGCTTTATTTTGTAGGCAGCTATTTGCATCGGCAATGTCCCACAAACAAACATGAGTTGGGTGAAATACCAAATAATCAGCAGAATCTTTGGTCAGGCTTCGGAAGAAAGTCCCTTCTCTTTTTAATGGTGTCATGATATCTTTAACATCAATCTAAAAACAGGCAGATGAGACATTAGTTAAATTACTGTCTCATTTAAGAACAGCCGCGCTCACAATGTAGTGAACCCTGAATAATTCCCCACTGTCTCATTAGGTAGCACTCGTGCCTCTGACCTAGAAGGCTGTGGGTTCAAGCCCTACATCGCGACTTTGAAATAACTTGTTTAGTCTAGGCTGACACTCTAATGTAGTCCTGAGGGTGTGCTGCATTTTGAAGGCACCATCCTTCAGATGAGACATCAAACCAATTCTTCCTGTTCAGGTGGACGGTAAACCTCCCATGACAATAGTGAAAACGAGAAGGGATTTTTTATTGTGTCTTGGCTAAAAATTTGCCAGATAAAATTGGTTATTCATTTCGTGGCTGTTTGTCGGACATTGCTGTGAGCAAATTGGCTGCAAAATACACAAGTCACTATACCTTATAGTACAACAAACAATACAACAAAATTACATTTGTATAGCACCTTTCACGTCAGGAGGACAACCCAAGGTGCTGGACAATCAGTGTTTCGGACCCGAGCTGGGGGTCGGGATCGGGGAGGCCAGGAGGGGAAGGAAGATGACCGAAGGCACGGTCAAAGAGGAGGGTCTTGAGACAGGTCTTGATGGAGGCAAGGGAGGGGCCGAGGCAGAGGGACTGCGGAATGGAGTTCCACAGGGCAGTGACAGAAGTGCTCCTAACATTAAAGATATTATATCAAGTCTAATGATTATTATTGTTATACTATTATTATTAATAATAATCCCCTAGAGCAGTGGTTCCCAACCTTTTGGGACCGATGATCCATCCTCAAACCCCGACAGTTTGTCGGATGCAAGCCCCATGCAAAAACATCTGGCCCACCAAACACAGCCAAAAGTACACCCATGTGTGTATCCAAACCAAAAAGTGCCAGAGGAAGAGCCGAACAAGAGAGGAAGGCCGGGTCACTGGTAACTAGCCATCCCAGCCCGACCAACCAGAAAAGTTGTCGGAAGCCCTGCACCTAACTGACTGCCACAAACACGAAGCAGACGCAAAATCCACAATTGAGTACAAGTCCCCAAAACAGCCGAAGAACCAGGAGGATCTTAGGACAGTGGCCCAGGTGAAGGGGCATAAATCTACCAGTGGGTCCAAATTACTCCAACTGGTCTCAAGCATCAATGTTTCAGCAATGAAAAGCAAGACTCTGAACTGTTTTTAACATATTGCTGAGATTGAAAAGAGTTACCTGATCTTTCACAATCTCTTCTACTGTTTCTTCTAGACCCAACTCATAGCATAGTCGTACAAACAGAGGTCCAAACTTAAATTCCCCAAATGCCATATTTCTGTTTTCAGAGTGGTACCTGTGAGCAGGATACAAAATAAAATATGGTTCTTGATCACTGACTTGCACAAAATGTATCATACGGTTTCTGCCAACTCCTTTTTTGTAGTTACATCATTTCTTACCCAAATGGGACTACCCTGCATAGCATAACACAAGTCTTTGTGGAATATTATTTTTCTTATTTCGAGAAGAAAGAGAAGTGGACATAACAACAACAACAACAAGATTACATTTGTATAGCGCCTTTCACGTCGGGAGGATGTCCCAAGGCGCTGGACAGCGTACAGCATTTCAGACCAGAGCTGGGGTCAGGGGAAGAAGGGAGGGGAGGGGAAGGGGGGCGACCAATGGTATGGTCGAAGATTTGAGGCAGGACTTGAAGGAGGCTAAGGAGGGACCGAGGCGGAGTGATTGGGGCAAGGAATTCCAGAGGTTGGGAGCAGAGTGGCTGAAGGCTCTCCCGCCAATGGTGGGGCGGGTGTGTCGGGGGACGTGGAGCAGGCCAGAGCAGGCTGAGTGGAGGGAGCGGGCGGGTTGGTAGGGGGTTAGGAGGCCACAGAGATCGGGATTTGTAGGTGAGGATCAGGATTTTGAACTGGATCCTCTGAAGGATAGAGAGCCAATGGAGTTGGTCAAGAATGGGGGAGATGGAGTCATGGAGTTTGGTGCAGGAGAGGACATGGGCTGCTGAGTTCTGGATTATCTGCAGCCTGTGGAGGGAGGAGTTGGGAAGGCCGACAAGCAGGAAGTTTGCATAGTCGAGCCTGGAGGTGATGAAGGCATGAACAAGAGTTTCAGCGGCCTGAGGGGTGAGGTAGTGGCGGAGTCGGGCGATGTTACGGAGGTGAGGGAAGGCAGAGCGGGTCATGGCTTGGATGTGCGGAAGAAAAGACAGAAAATAACTCAAAATCAGAAACTTTGGTCCCAACCAATTAAGGTTGTTGGCCTGATTCTCAATTAAAGATGAATGAATCTCAAGGTCAGTAATTACTGATGATCTCTATTATTTTCTATAATCCAGTAAGAAGATGGTGAATAGAGATCTACTGTACCACTGAAGTGGTTATCCCATTGGTCAGTTAGGAAAAATTATATTTGTACGTCAGAGATTATGCTTTATGCTCACCCTGTAACTTTCAATGTATTTCATTACCATAATGAATGCAATGGTAATAAAAATAGAAATTGACTACATTTAATTTGTTAAAATTGCTTTAACCACAGACTTTGTTGGCCAAACAACATTATTTTAGAAGGAGTCTGTGTGGGGGGGAGGGAAGGGGAACGAGCAAGAAAATAATTACTCAAGTATTCTAGATATAAAATGGAAACACTTAGAACAGTCAATGAAATACATATTTCAACAACAGGTTTAAAATTCTCAGAAACATACCTATAAATGGTTTTCTTTGCTATTTCTACATCTGCCAGCGTCTGGCACAAATGTAATAACACTTTCAAATCATTCTTGAGAATTAATTGATCCTTTTCCAGTTTTTCCTCTATCATTTTGAAGTACTGATCTGAAAAAAAACTTCCAGTTCTTAAAATGCATTGCAGGCTCAGCACTCTTCATTCTGTCTCCAAGTCAGATGTATAAAAACAGAACAAAGTCCAGAAAAAGGGCTAACCTGCTGTTGCAGCCCACTATTTACAACAAAGCAAGTACAAGTCCTCAACATCACGGATTGTTCCTAATTTACTTCATATCCAGAGAGAAGGGAAAGACTCTAAATAAAACCTCTAAGAACAAAAGTCTCTGGAAGGTGCATCTTTCTGTAAGATTTGTTGTCTAGGCAAATGAGTCAGACACCAGAAGAGTGCAAACACCAAACCAGACCGCTCGGTACATATAAAGCGCAGCATTTAGTGGAATGTCATCTTATCGGCAACTTTAAAAAAGCAATAATTATTTTAATGCACGTCTATTCAGAGATTGTTAGTGGTAGAATTACACTATGATTATAATCTTGCCTAAGCTGCTCTCTCAAGCAAACAGTGGGCTAAATCAATGAATTATTGCATTTGATTAGATACCAATGTCCCCTTTAAACAAATAGCCTCACCAACTATCAGATCTGTGGCAATTACAGTGAGGTTTTCAAGGACCATCTTAACACTGTCATTGCCTCCTCACAGTGCTATAGTCTTTCATAAGACAAAACGTTGATGCATCTTACCTCGACTAACATGAATCTGATTGGCAACAACAATTTTCCTTCTTTGGAACTCTAGCAGCTGAATCACATTATCAGACAGTAGATATCTTTTTGCTGCAGGTAAAAGTAGAAACAGTAGATATAAATTAAAAACCACAGTCGGCAGTAATGCAGTACACTGTTTGCATAAGGAACCTGACTATGATGTAAAACAGACATTATATACAATTTAGAAACATAGAAATCTATAGCGCAGGGGAACGTCATTGAGCCCAATATGTCTGCACTGGCTCACATACCAGGAGATCAATTTAATCCCATCGCCTCACATTATTCCCATTTCCCTTACAGCATGCGTTTATCTACTTCCCTCTTGAAAGCCTCTGCCACCAATCACCCTACTCAGCAGGACATTTCACATCCCAACAATTCTCTGGGTGAAAAATATTCTCCTAAATTCTCCTTTCGCTGTTTTTGTGGCTATTTTATAACAATGTCTCCTATTCACTGTCTCCCCTATCAATGGGATTAACTTCTCCCTTCTTGCAATTCACTTCTTTAAAGTTCATTTGCCACTGATCAGCCCATTATGCTAATCTGCTGAAATCATCCTGCAGCCTTTCCATCCTCATCTCTATTCACTAGACTGAACTTCCTAGCTTGGTATCACCTGCACACTTTAGATACTGCACTCCCTATATTCAAGTCAAGGTCAATGATATATATATGGAGAAAATTAGAGGCCGAGCCCAGTGACACACAACTAACCATCTTCCTCCAACTAAAAAAAACAACCTTTTAGCTCTACTCTCTGCTTCAACAACCTTTCTACCTAACTTTATTTTATGTAAAACCTTTTCTACAACAAGAAGATTACATTTGTATTGCGCCTTTCATGTAGGAAGGACGTCCCAAGGCGTTGGACAGTGTACAGCATTTCAGACCTGAGCTGGGGTCAGGGGGGAGAGGGGAAGGGAAGGGAGGTGGCTGATGGCATGGTCAAAGAGGAGGGTTTTGAGGCGGGACTTGAAGGAGGTGGAGTGACTGGGGGATGGAATTCCAGAGGTTGGGGGCAGAATGGCTGAAGGCTCTCCCGCCAATGGTGGGCCGGGGGACATGGAGCAGGCCAGAGCCGGCTGAGCGGAGGGAACGAGCGGGTTAGTAGGAGATTAGGAGGTCGCCTAGGTAGGGATCTGTGTGTGAGGACCAGGATCTTGAACTGGATCCTCGGAAGGATAGGGAGCCAATGGAGTCGGGCGAGAGTGGGGGAGATGGGGTCACAGAGTTTGGTGCGGGAGAGGACATGGGCTGCAGAGTTCTGGATTATCTGCAGCCTGTGGAGGGAGGAGTTGGGAAGGCCGACAAGTAGGGCGTTTGCATAGTCGAGCCTGGAGGTGATGAAGGTATGAACAAGAGTTTCAGCGGCCTGAGGGGTGAGGTAGCGGTGGAGTCGGGTGATGTTATGGAGGTGAGGGAAGGGTCATGGCTTGAATGTGGGACAGAAAAGACAGTTGAGGGTCAAACAAGACACCGAGGTTCCTGTCTGGCTTGGTGAGATGTAGTGTGCAACCATGGAGGTTGATGTTGCCAGAGCCTGAGGTGCTAAGGCGCTGGCGCGAGCCAATCGGGAGGACCTCAGTCTTGTTTACATTCAACTGTAGGAAATTTGTCCTCATCCAGGACTTGGTGTCCGACAGGCAGTCTGTCAGGACAGCAGTGGTCCTGGAGTTGTGGGTGGAGGCAGAAAGATAGAGTTGGGTGTCATCCGCATACATGTGGAAGTTGACCCCATGTCTGCGGATGATGTCACCAAGGGGGAGCATGTAGATATTACAGAGGAGAGGGCCAAGGACAGAGCCCTGGGGGACGCCAGACGTGACAGTGTGGGGGCTGGAGGAGAAACCGTTAGAGGCAAAAACGTGGAGACAGTGAGAGGGATAGGAATCGAACAAGGCAAGGGCAGGTCCGCGAAGATTGAGTAAAGAGGAGAGGCGGTGTGTGAGGATGGAGTGGTCGACAGTGTCGAAGGCGGCAGAGAGGTCGAGGAGGACGAGGAGGCAGAGGGAGCCCTGACCACAGATGTTCAGAAAGTCATTAGTGACTTTGCCCAGAGCTGTTTCCGTGCTGTAGGACAGTGAGAGTGGCCACTGTGAAAGTGGAAGAAGGCCCACCCGCCAATGGTGGGGTGGACGAGGTGGGGGACGTGAAGCAGGCTGGAGCCCGTTGAGTGGAGGGAGTGGGCAGGACGGTAGGGGGTTAGGAGGTCGCAGAGGTTGGGGGGAGCAACACCATGGAGGGCTTTGAAGGTGAGGACCAGGATCTTGCATTGTATCCTCTGTGTGATGGGAAGCCAGTGGAGTCGGGCAAGGATGGGGGTGATCCAGTCATGGAGCCTAGTGCGGGAAATGGGCTGCTGAGTTCTGGATCATCTGGAGCCTATGGAGAGAGGAGTTGGGGCAGCCGACAAGTAGGGAGTTTGCAGTCAAACCTCGATGTAATGAATGCATGTATGAGGGTTTTGGGGGCCTGCGATGTGAGACAGTGGCGGAGCCGGGCGATGATGTGGGGGAAGGCAGAGCGGGTCAAGGCACGGATCTGGGGCACGAAAGGATAGTTGAGTTAATATTACACGGTGATAGTGGGTGCTGTTCTGGGTGATAGTGGGTGGTACAGGGTGACAGTGGGTGGTACAGGGTGACGGTGGGTGGTGTGCAGGGTGAGGGTGGGTGCTGTGCAGGGTGACGGTGGGTGCTGTGCTGGGTGATAGTGGGTGGTACAGGGTGACAGTGGCTGGTACAGGGTGACGGTAGGTGGTGTGCAGGGTGACGGTGGGTGGTACAGGGTGAGGGTGGGTGCTGTGCAGGGTGAGGGTGGGTGCTGTGCAGCGTGAGGGTGGGTGCTGTGCAGCGTGAGGGTGGGTGCTGTGCAGCGTGAGGGTGGGTGCTGTGCAGCGTGATAGTGGGTGGTACAGGGTTACAGTAGGTGGTACAGGGTGAGAGTGGGTGCTGTGGGGGGTCCTGTGGCAGGTGTGGGGGGTGTGTGTGGGGCTGTGGGGGCTGTGGGGGGGTGTGGTGCTGTGTGGGGGCTGTGGGGGTGTGTGGGGGTGTGTGGGGCTGTGTGAGGGCTGTGGGGGGCTGTGTGAGGGCTGTGGGGGTGTGTGGGGCTGTGGGGGGTGTGTGCGGGGCTGTGGGGGCTGTGGGGCTGTGGGGGGTGTGGGGCTGTGGGGGGTGTGGGGCTGTGGGGGGTGTGGGGCTGTGGGGGTGTGGGGCTGTGGGGGGTGTGGCTGTGGGGGGGTGTGGGGTGTGTGTGGGGCTGTGGGGTGTGTGGGGCTGTGGGGGTGTGGGGCTGTGGGGGTGTGGGGCTGTGGGGGGGGTGTGGCTGTGGGGGGGGTGGGGCTGTGGGTGTGTGGGGCTGTGGGGGGTGTGGGGCTGTGGGGGGGTGGGGCTGTGGGGGGGGTGGGGCTGTGGGGGTGTGTGGGGTGTGTTTGGGGCTGTGGGGGTGGGGCTGTGGGGGGGGTGGGCTGTGGGGGGTGTGGGCTGTGGGGGGGTGGGGCTGTGGGGGGGTGGGGCTGTGGGGGGGGTGTGGGGTGTGTGGGGCTGTGGAGGGTGTGGGGCTGTGGGGCGGTGTGGGGCTGTGGTGCTGTGTGGGGTGTGGGGCTGTGGGGTGTGTGGGGGATGTGTGGGGGTGTGGGGCTGTGGGGCGGTGTGGGGTGTGTGTGGGGCTGTGGGGGGTGGGGCTGTGGGGGGTGTGGGGGATGTGTGGGGGTGTGGGCTGTGGGGATGTGTGGGGGGTGTGGAGCTGTGGGGGTTGTGTGGGGGCTGTGGTGCTGTGTGAGGGCTGTGGGGTGTGTGGGGCTGTGGTGCTGTGTGTGTGGGGGGTGTGGTGCTGTGTGGGGGGGGGGTGTGGTGCTGTGTGTGTGGGGGGTGTGGGTGCTGTGTGTGTGGGGTGTGGGGCTGTGGGGGTGTGTGGGGTGTGTGGGGGCTGTGGTGCTGTGTGGGGCTGTGGGGTGTGTGTGGGGTGTGGTGCTGTGTGTGTGGGGGCTGTCGTGCTGTGTGGGGGCTGTGGTGCTGTGTGGAGTGTGTGGTGCTGTGGGGGGTGTGTGTGGGGGGTGTGTGGGGGGTGTGGTGCTGTGTGTGGGGGGGGGGTGTGGTGCTGTGTGTGGGGGGGGTGTGGTGCTGTGTGGGGTGTGTGTGGGGTGTGGTGCTGTGTGTGGGGGGGTGTGGTGCTGTGTGGGGGGCTGTGGTGCTGTGTGGGGGGTGTGTGGGGCTGTGGTGCTGTGTGGGGCTGTGGGGGTGTGTGGGGGCTGTGGGGGGTGTGTGGGGGCTGTGGTGCTGTGTGGGGGGTGTGTGGGGCTGTGGTGCTGTGTGGGGCTGTGGGGGGTGTGTGGGGGCTGTGGGGGGTGTGTGGGGGCTGTGGTGCTGTGTGGGGGGTGTGTGGGGCTGTGGTGCTGTGTGGGGCTGTGGGGGGTGTGTGGGGGCTGTGGTGCTGTGTGGGGGGGGTGTGGGGCTGTGGTGCTGTGTGGGGCTGTGGGGTGTGTGTGGGGGCTGTGGTGCTGTGTGGGGGGTGTGTGGTGCTGTGTGTGTGGGGCTGTGGTGTGTGAGGCTGTGGTGTGTGGGGCTGTGGTGCTGTGTGGGGGGTGTGTGGGGGCTGTGGGGTGTGTGTGGGTGTGTGGGGGGTGTGTGGGGGGTGTGGTGCTGGGTGTGTGGGGGGTGTGGTGCCGTGGTGCTGTGTGGGGCTGTGGTGCTGTGTGGGGCTGTGGTGCTGTGTGGGGCTGTGGGAGCTGTGTGGGGGGTGTGTGGGGCTGTGGTGCTGTGTGGGGCTGTGGGGGTGTGTGGGGGCTGTGGTGCTGTGTGGGGGTGTGTGGGGCTGTGGTGCTGTGTGGGGCTGTGGGGGTGTGTGGGGGCTGTGGTGCTGTGTGGGGGTGTGTGGTGCTGTGTGTGTGGGGTGTGTGGGGCTGTGGGGTGTGGGGCTGTGGTGCTGTGTGGGGGTGTGTGGGGCTGTGTGGGGGGTGTGTGGGGCTGTGTGGGGGGTGTGTGGGGCTGTGTGGGGGGTGTGTGGGGCTGTGTGGGGGGTGTGTGGGGCTGTGTGGGGCTGTGTGGGGGCTGTGGTGCTGTGTGGGGGCTGTGTGGGGGGTGTGTGGGGGCTGTGGGGCTGTGGGGCTGTGTGTGTGGTGCTGTGGTGTTGGTGTGTGTGGTGTGGGGCTGTGGTGTTGTGTGTGGGGCTGTGGTGCTGTGTGTGGGGCTGTGGGGCTGTGGGTGTGTGTGTGGGGCTGTGGTGTGTGTGTGTGGGGCTGTGGTGCTGTGTGTGGGGCTGTGGTGCTGTGTGTGGGGCTGTGGGGCTGTGGGTGTGTGTGTGGGGCTGTGGTGCTGTGTGTGGGGCTGTGGGGG